GGGGGGGGTTGGTGGGGGTACGTTCAGGTGCAACCAGCCCAGGGATCACAGGTAGGTCAGTCAAGGTGCAATGGAGGCATCAGTCCTGGAGCTGAGCCATTCTCAAATGGGGCTATCCTTTCAAGTCAGTCTGGTGAGTGGGTCACAATCAGTTTTCGGAGTTTGGACATCACTGATGAGTGTGTAGGGTGCAGCTAATTATCAGGGTGCAGCCTGTTGAGTCCCGAGGAAAAGAGAAGTGAGGTTCATTGGACTGGGGCCCTGAGGGAATGACTCTAGTGAAAGGATGCTGTTCGCAATAAAAAGGTAAGATTTCATGGCGCATGGAGGAGGAGCAGAGGGTGGATTTTATTCACAAATGACAAGCTATTTGGCTTCAGCATGGAGAAATTGTATGGGCAAATAAGGGCATGGCAATTTGCAAAGCCATCATCTCGGGGGGTAATGTGGGAACCTTAACAGCTATAGAAAAAGGATGAACAGAAACATGATGAAGCTGAAAGACCGCGAGGATACAGGGAAAGCAACATAAAAGGGAACATGATGTCAGGTGGAGCCTGTCAGTCCAGGATTTTTTTTAATCAGACTGATGGAAGTCTGATGGTCTGCACAAAGCAAGAGTAGCTGCATCTTTCTTTATGTTCGTATGTGAAATATGGTATTTGGGATTCAGTGAGTCTTGTTTGGAGTCCCCTGTCTCTGTGGTAACCAACAGCTGGTCTATTGTCAGGTAAACCCTAATATTACTTTACACTATTCCCCTTCTTCCATGGCATCCTGTTTTACCTCAAATTGAAAGAGACAATTTAAAATGTAAACATCTTATGAAATGTCACATTCATAGTACACGTCTTTAACTGAATATTTCTCTCTAGCTAGTCAAAATTACACTTAAGAGAGAGTTTCCACCTTTTCTCTACCAGATTTTTGTTACTTTTCTTGGCTGATCAAATTGCCAAACCCCATTAATTCCCCATGAATGAAGTCATTTCCGCATACCATGTGTGAATACTTACTGGATTGCCCTTACTAAACTTCGTTTGTCTCAAACTGATGTGTTACCATTATTCTGAACAGCAGGTTCATGTAAATTTAAGTTTACATCCCCAGGGGCTGCAAGCTGTGAATTTGATCTTTTGTAAGCATAATTGAACCTAAGTTGAACCAAACTAAGCAAGTTATAAAACTGAAGGGAATAAACTTAAATTCACAGGAAAGTACTTAGCTTATTCTGGAAATTCTTGCAAGGAGATTTTCATACCATTTTTGTTTCCTTTCTGTTGTAGCACCAAGTTTGTTTGCTTTTCACTGAATTTGAAATCTTTGCAGTTCCTTTTGGAGTGCATCATCCAAATTTGCATTTGCTGCTTTTGGTAGTCATCTGTTCCTTACGCTTACAGCTCTTAAGTGTGAAATAATTATGTTCAGCTCAATTTTTAATGCTTCCTATTGCAAAAATTTTAAATTTAACCAAGATTTTAATTGCATGGAATATAGGGTCAAATGAGATATTTTCCAATACACAGGCACACGGATTCTGATATATAATTAATCTGCTCCTTCTGAATGAAATGCAAACAGTATGCCAACTTTGTACTACCTGCTCACTACAAGGAATTCTGCACTCATCCAGCCCTCCCTGTGCTGACCCCATTAGCCAATATTGTTAGTGACCTCTTATGGGAGAGGTGCATTGTTGCTGAAGCAGCTGCTGGGGAGTTTTTATACAAGTGAATTGACCTGGGAAAGAATGAGGAATGGCTGACAATGGAACAGAATGAGCATATTGTTTCCAGAAGCTGGAGGAGGAAATGGAAAATTGCAGCGCAATCCCATATCCACAAGGGGATGGGGAATAATTTCCACACACAGTCAGTGAGAACAGATAGCCTTGAAATAGGTATATATATATAGGTATATAGAACCTGGATGCAATGCCATAAGAATTTAGATAATTTCACATGACTTGTCAAGATCAGCGAATACATTTTCAAATGCTATATCCTGCCAACTGCACCATTAGTCACAGCTACTTCTCACTTCACCATACACCCATCAATCAACTACCACAAATTTCTATCAGCCAGAACTTTTATATAGTATTTACAGGCTTTGTTTCATCGTCATACACTGTAACAAGCCTCTCACTCACATCTCAGAGCTTGCATGACACTCAGTGACACATTTTCTCTTTCTTACAGGAGACATTATTGCACAGCAAGAGGCAGTTGGAATTAACCAGAATGAAAAGCTGCAGATGGTGGAAACATGCAGTGCTTCTTATCTCCTCTCGCCTCACTATGTTTTTCTATTGTTCCATTCAGAAAACCAGCAGCTACATCTTGCCAAAGCAACGGGGGAAGAAGACGGTGTGATTGAACAAACATGGACACTAGATTTCATAGTCACAGCCAACAGCTTAGATACTGGCACTGTACATAATTTAGAGGATGATATAAAAACAGAATATGTTTGCAATGAGGCACTGCAAAGCTATATTTCAAATAAAACCCAAAGAACTGCAGATGCTGGAAATCAGAAACAAAAGCAGAAATTGTTGGAAAAACTCAGCGGATCTGGCAGCATCTGTGGAGAGAGCACTGAGTTAACGGTTCAAGTCCTGTGACCCTTCAGAACTGTTCTGAAGAAGGGTCATTGGACTTGAAATGTTAATTTTGTGTTCTTTCCACAGAAGCTGCCAGACCTGCTGAGTTTTCCAGCAATTTCTGTGAAAGTTACTAGGTCAAGAAGAAGGGTCAGTGCACTAATTCTGTTCTATTGCAAAGGATTCAGATGATGACTTTATTTGGCCAGACTACAGAAGAAAGCTTGTGTAGAAGGATTGGGTATACAGACCCAACCACTTGGTGTACAGGAAAGCCTGCGAATAAACTTGCATTCAATGTCAAACAGCGTGAAGGTGTTGGCATCAACTTGGCACATGGATTCAACCAAGCTTGACCCACAGACCTTGCAACATAAAGCAGCTATATTCCATTGACACATCTGTGGAGCCAAGTTTCTGACGACTGATGTCTCAGGTTCCAATACAGCACAAGCTGCAGCTACATCAGCATGTGAGTGCTGCAGTAAAATCTTAGACTATTACTGCATTGGCTGTAGTTACCAATGTGCAAAGGAGCCTCCAGGTCTTTAAAGCAAGTGAATTGACCTGGGAAAGAATGAGGAATTCTGTTGTCCAATTTGCTCCGTAAAGATTTTCTAAACTTGGGCACCTGCTGAGAGCCATTCTTCACCATTTTTCCCTCCTTCTTTAGCAGCTTGTATTTTAGAGTCAGAGTCTTACATGTCAACCAGGTTTCCAACTGAACCTGTCCCATTTGCTTGCATTTGGCCCATTTCCCTCTAAACTTTTCCTATCCATGTACCTGTTCAAATGTCTTTTAAATGTTGCAATAGTACTCACCTCTACCACTTCCTCTGGCAGCTCATTCCATATACACAGTACCGTGTGTGTGAAAATGTTGCCCCTCAGGTTCCTTTTAAATCTTTCCCCTCTGACCTTTAACCTATGCCCTCTAGTTTTGATTCCCCCACTGTTCTCCATGTTCTGCATGGTATCAGCTCTTTCTCCCAATCATATTAAATGCTGAGACAATATTATCTCAAAGCAATTGCGCTGTGCAATAGCCTTTAAGTAACCAAAAATCATACAAGCTGTGTAAAATAGCAGCAAGATCCAGTATAAATAGTCCAGTAACCAACCTACAAGTGGGTGGTGATGCCCTTAAATGGTGACGCTGGGACCCTTATGTACAATTGAATGAGAGTTCAGCAGTGAGAGGTTAAGAGAAGTCTAGCTCTAAAATGGTGATACTATGTTATATTCCTGACTGATATCATGATCTGTCTGCTCTGCTTTCAACTGATGATGTTAAGTGCACATCTACTAACCTTTTAGCCAATATGACATTCTTTACAACATGAGAAATAGAAGCAGAAGTAGGCCCTTCAGCCCCTCTAGCTAGTTCTGTCATTCTATAAGATCGCGACTGATTTGCCCCAGACTTCTGCCTCTTTCATGCCAGCTGCTCATAGCCCTCCACTCCTTGATGCTACAAAATATATCTGCCTTCTCTTTAAATACTTTCAGTGATCTAGCCTCCACAATTCTCTGGGTAGAGCATTCTGGATATTCACTACCATCTGAAAGAAGAAATTCCTTTTCATCTCCGTTTTAAAGTGTATAACCTCACACTTTCTGCATTCAAGTCCATCTGCCAATGTTTTGCACACCCACTAAACCTATCTATATCCCCTTGCAGATTCCTTATGTCTTCATCACAACATGCCCTACTACCCGTTTTTGTGGGTAAATTCAGTGCACTTCTCATTTGAGGCATGTCTGGAAGCAATGGGCAACATTTTAGAACATTAAGAAACCTTGTAGGACTGGCAAAAATGGTCATTCCTGAGCCCAATTTCATCTCCATGGTATCCAAGTTAATCTTCAGTCTTTCTAACAAAGTGTTATGCAGGAAATGTTTATTACCATTTTTTTTAAAGATGCGATTCACCAATTTTGTTTATATCTCTAATTCTTCCAGATTTTCTTCATATTTCAGTAACATGTTTTGAATACCCAATGTGAAGGGTGGTTTGGGCATATTTAAGAAGATTGAATTTAACGTCTAAAATCTGGGGTTAACTATTGCAAACTGATTATTGTCTGGTCTCAGCAGATACACTCGTTTTACTGGTGGCCTGTTGATACGATGGGCTGGTATGTAATATTCTATACTAATGGTGGAAGGATGTGGGGTTTTCCAATCTAACTCAGATAAATGGGGAGAGATATAACGTGAAGACAGCTTAGCAGGCAAAATAAAATATCACGCACCAACAATTCTAGTGCACTTCTTGCACTATAATAATGGCACAAAACTTTCATACAGGATGGGGAACCCAAATAGGAGAGAAAAATGATTTGATGTTTTTGAAACGTTAGCAGTTGAATCCTCTTTCTTTTGACCTTATAGATGGACAAAATAGCTGAAGTGTGGAAGTTCCATGCATTAAAGAAACCAAGTGGAATCGCAACACATCTTCCTCGGAGACGGAAAGGCACTCGGCTTCGAGAACATCACAAGTATCTCAACCTTTACCACAAATAGAGGCCAATGATGCACAATTGTACTTGAAGACTGTACTCTAATCTTAGATGAGAAGAATTCATCAACTGCCATTACTGAACTGAATCAAACTGATATGTCCTGGAATATGGTACAAGCCTTTACACTGGGGCTGTATCCCATCCAGCTTCTACATGTAGGATAATAAAACAAGGACCTGCAGATGCTAGAGATCCGAAACAAACAAAAACAGAAATTGCTGGAGAAACTCTGAATCCTGTGACCTTCGAACTTGAAATGTTAACTCTGTTTTCTCTCCAAGATGCTATCAGACCTGCTGAGTTTCTATGGCAATTTCTGTTTTTGCTTGATTTTACAGAGCAGTGAGTTGATTGAATTACTCTGAAAGCAGCTATGTTGTGCTTTACATAAGGCCAGTTTCATATTCTGAAGTCAGGCTAATATATTCTTATCTACGTAAAAGCTACAGTTGGGACGGAGTGACTCAGTTGGCACATCATTCATTCACCACTAGAACCTGGATTTGATTCACTAGAAAAGTCCTAAATAAAGTTAAAAAACCAATAGAATGCTGGAAATCAGAAACAAAAACAGAAATTGCTGGAAAAAATCAGGTCTGGCAGCACCTGTGGACATAAATCAGAGTTAACATTTCAGGAACAGTGTCCCTTCCTCAGGAGGGCCTAAATAAGGAACTAAGTAAAATTAGCTCATTGCAGTCCGAACACATCCATGAATTCATGGCTTAGAATTCTCCACAATTCAATACTATTTGGCACTTAATTCAATAAGGTGACTCAGACAGGAGAGAGACTTCTCAGCCAGAAGTACTTTGTTCAAGTCCACTCCAGGGGTTGACGGCCAAGGAGGTTGAGTTATAATATAGCCAAGAGAAGTTGATTATCAACTTGCGAGTCACCTCTGGCAGGCAGTAAGAACTGGAGAGGTCCCTGGTCAGCCATGCTTTATGTAGAAGGTGCCCCTCAAATTATAGTCTTTGCAACCTATTCCGGGGTAAACTAACCATGGAAACAGGCATAAACGTATGCTGATGTAAAAGCCTCAAAGCATAAGCTGGGTATTATGCAAAAGCATCATTAACTGGAACCTGATGCTACTATTACCACATAAAACAAGTGAATTCTGTGCCTTCACACGTGCCCAGCAACCAGCTTTACGTGGCTTCAGAGAGTTTCCCACCAGACACCTTTATCTTGTTAGATGAATAGACTGTTATTGTACCACAAAAGTAGCATTGAAATTGTCATTTGTAAGCCATGGACCACCACTTTATCATCTGTCTTCCAAAGTTATTTTGCATATATTTTAATGTGTTGATGTTCCTAATTACTATTGACTTTGATGACCAAGAGTAGACAATTCCTTCCTTTCTCAATTGGACATCCATCTTAATTAAAATACTGAATATTTAGGATATAAATCAAGAACAATGAAGGAATATGTGAGGACTGGCTGAAAAAACAAGGCCTAGGCCACAGGAGTGCTTTCTTTTATTCAAAGGCATATGATTTTATTAAAATCATGGCAACGGCAAAGTATGCAGTACCATGAGGTTTTAATTCTAATCCTATTATAAATTTTTTTGGTGTAACTTATAGGCCTCTAAACAGAGGCTGTGAAACTGAGTCCAAATCAATGTGTTATAACTGAGTGCCCCAAAAGCTGGTTAGACAGTATTTTATCAATTTCTCTTATACAATGTTTGTAATCATTGCCCTTACTTCATGAAATTTTGTTTTGGGGCCTCACTGTGTATGTACTGTATGTCAAAGACAAACAAACAGACTCTGGAGTTATATTGACCAGAGAATGACCAGCACTTTGTAAGTGTGGGAATGTAACAGATATTTTTCTTGTTCATGTTTGTTGCTTTGTGTAGCATTTCAGCAGTACCTTGTATAAATAGTTATAGATGCAGGAACCAAGCAACAGAAGATGGGGTGAAAGAATCTGACATTACTTACTCATTCCATAGAAGTTGAATCTTGCGATGGTCTTAAAGAGAGAATAATGCAAGTCTGGCACTTTGACCAGGCCTGCATTAGAAAGAGAATATCTCAAGGGGAGGGAGAAAAGGGAAACAAAGATAAATCAAAGCAAAAAGCATCCATTGACCTTTGAACAGATGGGTTGCTGTGTAAAATGTTAAAGAACAACAGCTGGCACTGTGACTCAAGGTTATATAGAGGGGAACAGATGATGGCATAAGCCATATGTCTGAAACTTTTTTTCAAAAATTGAAAGTGTTGGGAAACTGAGCCCTTCATGCAGCTTTCGTGGGTGTGTCAATAGGCTTGCTTTTTGGGAGGTGTGCCTTGTTGGTGTGACTTTGTTATGCATCCTTCAGCTCAGAATTGGTTTGTGCTATAACTTGCTCTGATGCAAGCTGGTAGCAGCATGGCAAAGGCAACAAAACATCTGAAATGTCATTAGTGGGAGTAACAGAGTATCACCTTAGGCATTGAGATTTCAGGTTTTAGAAAGAAATAGCAACATTGGAAAAGGAAGGGGAATTACAATAAGCGAATTAGAGTCCAATCACATGGAGAAAGCAAAATAATGAAAAAGAAAGGTTGGATTAAGAGATAGAGGGAAAAGAGACAAGTGAAAAGGAAGAAAAAGAAAAAAATTAATCCCTAAGAACAATTTACCTGCTGAAAAAATGGAAGTCCACAACTTAGATTGTTCAATTTCTGGACTGGAAAGATTGATTAACATAGCATTAAGAATCATCATCTCATGAATATGGTTCTTAGTTGTAAGATTTACATTTTTTGGAGCAATTACAAACAGGGCCAATAAAATTGTCACAGGCTCTTCACATAAGCAGACAGGTCTGGTGATGTCAGTTGGCATGACAAGCTTCAGGATGCTTCCATACATACATTGCTAACTGCACCACATTTTGCCCTGCATCAGTCAACATGAGATAGGGAGCTATGACAGCTGTTAAACAAATACAAGTGTATTAATATTTAATCTGCAAGAACATTGATAATAATTATCAATGCACGTTAGGAAATTTGCTGGAAACTCCAAGTGTAAAGTTAATTTTAACTACTTTGGCAAGTGTATCATCCAGTAGATAGGCAAGTGGTTTGGGTACAAAAACAGAAGTTACTGAAAAAGCTCAGCAGGTCTGGCAGCATCTGTGAAGAAAAGATCAGAGTTAATGTTTCAGGTCTGGTGACCCTACTTATGAACTGTTTCAGTAGTTGGTGGCTGTGCTCTGGTGGTAAGGGATGACATCATCTCAACATCTATCCTGTCAGACCTCCTCAGAATCTTTCGACCTGACCAAACCCCCTCAGAACCTTAGGGTTAATTCCAAACACTTGCAGTGACAGAGCTATACGGAGACATAGTTGAAATTTGCTGTATGTGGGTGTAAAATTAACTCGATATCTCTCAGTGACTGTCACTGGATGTGTGGACCACACCCAAAAAACTGGCTGCTGGTTCCCATCACTTCCACATTGTCAGTGACTTCCTGTTTACATATCCAGCACTTGGAGGTAGCATTTGAACCATTTGCAGCTGAATATTTTGTAGGTTTAATGGACAACTAATATACAAATCTGGCAAACTCTTAAAAATAAAAGTAAGACGTGTGTCATTTGTGCAGCACAATCAGCAGAGTGGTGCAAATAGACCAGCAATTGTGAGACATTTGTAAGTTGTGGTATACTCTGTTTCTGATTTTGCTGGCCAGTTTTCATTGGTGGCCAATGAATTACTTATTTTTAAATGTTCATTGTTAATGCCTTGTTATTTTTACCCCAAGATCTGGGCCAAAATTGTTGAAACAAAAGGATATTCTAGACAAATTGTGAGATGCTGTATTTTGGAAGGACGAACATGGCATCGGAACACACACTGAATGGCAGGACCCTAAAATGTACAGAGGACCAGAGAGATCTTGGTGTGCATGTTCAGCTCCTTCCACATAGCAGGAGAGGTAAATAAGGTGGTTAAGATAGGAAACCTGCCTTTCTCACTGAAGGCATTAAATACAAGAGTTGGAGGTTATGCTGGAACTGTGTAAGATGGTAGTTGTGTTATGAATTGCCTCATTCCAAAAACTTGGAAAATCTGACCCTTTTCATGACTGCCTCCTACTTTGATCTTACCCAATTTATTGTTGCCTAAACAATAAGGACTTCAAACTAAAGTAGTTCACTGGCTCTGAGATGGGTTTGCATGGCCTCAGGACATGAAAAGTGAATTCTGAATGCTAATTCTATCATTTTTTAAATCTTTTCACTTAGGAGTTTTGAAATTACTTATTCCTCCATGAATAGGATGATTTTCACATCAACAGTAAGTATTTGAAATTATTGTCAAGCTTTTCTTTCAATGAAAAGATCTTTCAATAATGATGCACAGAATAATCTGAGCTCCAGTAGTGACATAAATATACAGTATCCATAATATTTGTACTGGCATGCTATGTGAAGTTTTGGTCACCACATTATATGAAGGATGTAATTGCAGTAGAGAGGGTGCAAAGGAGATTTAGCAGGATATAACCTGGATTGGTGCAATTCAGCTCAGGAGAGAGGCTGGAGAAGCTGGAATTGTTTTCCTTAGAGCAGAGAAGGCTGATGTAGGACCTGACTGAGGTGTACAATAGAATGAGGGGTATAGATAGAAAGAAACTTTTCCCCTTGATAGGGGGATCAATAACAAGTGGGCATAGATTTAAGGTAAGAGGTAGGAGGTTTAGAGGGAAATTTAAGGAAGAATTTTTTTCAATAGTGTGTGGTGAGTGTGTGGAACTCATTGCCTGAAAGGGTGATGGAGGCAGGAACCATCACAATATTTAAGAAGTGTTTGGATGATCACTCGAAGTACCACAGCATACAAGGCTACAGGCTGGAAGATGGGTCTAGAGTACATAAGAGCTTAATGACCATTGTAGACATGGTGGGCCGAAGGGTCTCTTGCCTTGTAAACCTTCTATGGCTTTTATTAGAAACATTATAAGAGAAAATGAGAAATGGGAATATTGGGGTGGAAGCACTATGAAATTCAACATGAATTAACTTGTTGGACAAAGCTATGCTTTGATGCCAATTTGGCTACATTTTGCCAGTTACAGATTTAGTCAGATGAGGGGGATTTTGCAAGTGAACTAACACACCACACATTTTTCTCTGTTTTTTTGGATTTGGGTCAACTTTTTTTTAATGAACTAAGCAAATGCAAATAGTTTAGATGCTTAATT